TGCCTGAAGTATAACTTGCTGCTTACTTATATCTACCTTATATATATGATCATACTTAGTCCCATATAATCTTTGTATATAATCATATAACTTACTGCTTACTATATCTAGCTTATATATATAATCATATTTAGTTCCATATAATCTTTATATATAATCATGTAGGTATTGTAGTCAGAACTGTACTGACACATTTAGTGCTAATTTATAGAATCCTTCTATATAACCATATAGTAGTTTACAGTAGGAGAAATGCAAGAGCAGTCACAGAACAGAAGCAGTACATGGGAAAACAGCCAGACCAGAACAAGAACCAAAGACCCAGGCGGTGGCGTCCCTGCCTGAAAGGACGTATGATGTATGGCAGGTTTCAAGCAAGAGCATCTCCATAAAGGAGCTGTAGTACCTTGCATCAAATTCCTGTGGAAAGTAGGCCTCAGGCCTGAGATCCTGCAAGTAACTGAGGGAGAAGAACCCCTCTGGTGTGAACAGTCATGGCAGCTGTACACCCTGTCAGTCTTTTCTTGCTTCTGTGCTAGCTCAAATCATATTCTCATCAATGTCTTAAGTGAAGAGCACAAGTCTTTCAGCTCCCAGTGCATTGGCTTACTGTATCCTTCTATTAGAAAGCCTTTGAAATCTCCAACCCCTAGATAAAAAGTTTGCACATGACACCTCTTGCACATAGCCCACCTCCTTGCCTCAGTGACCTAAATGGGTGTGGACCCCTTTTCTGTACACGACCACTATGGTTCACGGCCCACTTCTCTGCTGAGGTGACATGATGGGGTGGCCCCCTCGCTTGAGACTCACGTGATTATGTATGCCCTATCACTAAGCCTATAGATGATGACCTCACTTACAACCCTTCCCCCTGCTTGTATCTAATAAATACAGACACCTCTGGGAGTTAGGGCTCGCCTGTCTCCACTCATATAGGCCCCCCAAGTCCACCTGCTCTTCTCCAGTTCTTCAGTGTCCTGTCTCTTTACTTCTCAGATCTTGCATTTCAACACAGCATAAGGGACACCCCACTACCCTGTGGGGCCCAACAGCCCTACAATTTTCCAAACAACATGACTGACAAACCTATTGTATATATGTTTACACACATATATATGTTATAATTTTTAAAATACCAGTAAAGACCTAAAAGTAATAAAGGCAGTGTTGCAGTGATGAGTTGAAGAAGCTGGTGAAACTTCCATTATAGTACATTACCTGGAAATGGTTAGGATGTTGAGACTTTATAGGGAGTGAAAAAAAAGCAAGCCTGTGAATATGACATATTGCAGATGGAATCCTGTTTTTAAAGAATGGCCCTCTTTTCTTTTTTTAATGCACTGTGGCCACTTTTGTTATCATTCAAGTATTAGTACCATTTAATTATCATATAATTACTCCGTAATCTTGGTTTAAAAGTGGTTTGAAATTTTGGCGTTTTTTTTCTGTACCTAGAGTCCTAGCAAAGATATTAAAAAATTCAAATACAAAATAGGTACAGTACCAAAATACAATCACCATGTTGCTTAAAATCTCATGATTTAAGAGAGTTTTTGAGCATTTTCTGGGAATGGAACCTCTATGGCGCCACTATGTCTATAAGGCCTCCTAATACTGATCAGATGTTCCAACTTGGACTTAATGAATACAGAGAGAGAATAGCCAGTCCCCTATATGTAGTAAAATCAGATGGCAATTGGTAATCAAGAATAGAGATTCATAAGCAAATCTCAATTTTTAGCTAAAGCATAAAATTGGGAAATCGATAAAACATGAAATCTATAGATATTCCTCAAATGGTTTTTTAATATGTTGAATTTTTCTTCTGTTAGACAAAGCAGTAATATGGTTTCTAGCAATATTGGATTTGGCTAACACAAACTGAAGTTAGAGATGGATAAAGCTATGTCTGTGACAACTTGTTAGGTCCCTCAATGTCTTCAGTTAGAACAAGACCCTATTAATCAGACAGAATTATCAATAATCTGAGCTTAAGGGGAGGAAATGTAACCAGAGCTTCTGGAAGGGAATAAACAAAACTGTTTTACTCTCATCTGCTTTCTTAATCAATGTTAGCCCAGAGAGGGTGCTAGGGATATCTTAGATAGTTGGCCACAGTGTCACCAAGTAGAAGTCATTCTAGATATGGAAAGAGGGACTCTGGGCCCTAAGTCTGGCTCTGCTAGGAGTCATCCACATGATGAGAGGTCCACTGCTGAATCTCTGGATAATTCAGTTTCTTGTTTGAGAAGTGAAGGGATTTAGTTAGGCTTCTAAGTACCTTTTTAGCTTTTAGTCCATAAATAAGATTTGTTGTCACCTTTGTCTGGAAATGTCTATTAATACAATGGTAGAGAGTCTGAAGAAATAGGTGGTCACTCTGTCGTCACTCACGACTATTTCAGCACATCTGGGGAGACACTGCCTTTCAAGGACTTCCCCTAAAACATGTAGAATGACTGATGCATGCAAACACACCACAAGCACTTTTATTCACCAATATATTATGCCACACCTAGCACAGTGCTACTATAAGTAGTCTTGGTCACAATTACTCAACCCTGACGTTTTAGTTCAAAAAGCAGCCATGGACAATATGTAGCAAATGAGCATGGCTCTGTGCCAAAAAACTTTATTTTCTTTATTTACAAAAGCAGGGAGCTGCTGGGATTTAGCCTGTGGGTTGTAGTTTGCCGACCCTTGCTCTAAATCATTAGTGAAGAAAGAATAACAGCATGATATATTATAAAAGCAGCGAATCCAGATGGCTAAAAATATTTTGGCTTTCCAAAAATTAAAAAGAAAATCTGGTCATGCGGAAAAACTGCTAGTGCAATTTGGGGAACATGCTCATTTGGGATTCTGATTCAGCTGTGGCTCTCGTCTGTAAGCAGAAAGCCATCAGACTGGGGTGGATTTAAGCCCCTTCTAAGGAATACCAGGTCCATTTCTAGACTGGCCTTAGAGGCTTTGTAGTTGGTCTAATCAATTTCCCTCAAACAAGTTTCATACAAACCTACTACATCAACCAAAGTTTGAAGCTAACTCAGTAACAAAAGGAGCATGTTGAAACAGTATGATCTACGGTGTATGTTCCATGGGCACTTCCAATGAATTTTGTGAGTTTTTTTTCAGACAGGGTCTTGCTTTTTTGCCCAGGTGGAGTGTAGTGGTGTAAACATAGTTCACTGCAGCCTTGACCTCCCTGGCTCAAGTGATTCTCTCACCTCAGCTTCCCTAGTAGCGGGGACTACAGGGATATGCCACAGTGATCCTCCAGTTTTTTAATTTTTTTTGTGAAGATGAGGTCTCACTATGTTTCCCAGGCTAGTCTTGAACTAGGCTCAGCAATTCTCCCACCTCAGCCCCAAAGTGCTAGGATTACGGGTGGGGACCATATTTTAATCCTGATTTAGACTAACCTTTGATGGAGACGTCTTTGAAACAACTTGGGGAATGGTATTAGATGGTGTTAAGGAATTCGAGTTCATTTTATTAGGAGTGAAAAATAGCATGGTAATTATGTAAAATATTATTTATCATTTATAAATGCATACTGAAGCATTTATGTTATTATGGGTGACACAATGTCTGAGATTTGCTTGAAACGCTCTAGCCCCATTCCCTCCACCTCCCCAAATCACTTGCAAGTTAAATAAAATAAGGCTGGCAGAATGTTGATCAATTTTAGAGGCAGACTTGCTATTATGTCTATATTCAGCCAAGCTTCTAACATGTCTAGCAGTTTCTTTTTCTTTCTCTAGGAATGGTCTGTCTTGCTCAATTCCCATTTTCTTGATTCACCAGTTTTCCTTTAAGCCAGCAAGTTTTTAATTCCATTTGTCTCCTCTTGTTGTCCTCATAAGGATATTGAGATGGGATCCTATAAATAGAACCATTTACCATGCTTCTATATAAAACCTGTGTCTATTTTCTTAGTCATCTCAGGACGCCCATCCTAACTTATTTTTTTCCTGAGAAGCATCTCAATTTGTGTTGGATTCATGGTTGGATTTCCTGATAAATAATTCTGTCTAGAAAAGGACTTTAGAAATCCCTTGAAGATGTAGTTTCAAACTTTACGTTTATAACCCCAAGCTGCAGATAATTAATATATAACTAATTTCTTCACAGATATTAGAGAATGTGTTCTATATGCAGGCAGCTGCTTTTTATATGCAGAACTTTCGGGATTTTTGGAGCCCATTCCTTCCAGACACTGCTGATATCGTGAGGTTGTTCACTATTTACTTAGAATTCTGTATGTCATACCAATCATTCACAACAATCTTTAAGTTCACATTTTAAAATAGACCACATGCCATTCACACCTTAGATAAATATCAGTTAACACTGAGTCATGAATCATACTTCTGTTTGCAGATCTATTGGGAAGGCAGCTATTTTAATGGCAATCTATATTTGCTGAGCATCTTCTATAGGCTAGGTCCTGTGCTTCATACTTCTCAAACACCATTTCGCTAATGGTAGTTAATAGTAACAAAAGCAGTTATTATTATTACAAAGATCATGTATTAGGCATCTGCTATGTTCCACTTGGCATATTTCCCCTTTAAACAGACAAAAGGCCTGAGGTTGCTGCTGCTATTCTTAAGTGAGGTTGAGTAACTTACTCAAGTTTACTCAGTTATTAAGTGGTAAACTCTGAGTCCCAGACCTTTTTTCCATCAGTCATTTGCATATAACTTGCGTAATTTTGACCACTGTGCATACTACTTGTACAATTATTTAAGTAATATTTTTAAAATTGACATACTTTTCTTTACATATTCTCAGCTAAAAAGGAAACGAAATATTATTGCCATACATGAAAAACTAATATCTTTTGCCACAAAAAGAAGTCAACCATATAAATAAATACAATGAAAGGTTGTTCTCTGCAGCCTGGGATGAGTCCCACTCTGATGTGCAGACTGATCCTCAAACAGTTCCCCTCCTAATTTCCATTACCCCATGGAGTCTATCATGTAAATTACCTTGTATTCCATCAGCGGCTTCGGGCCCACACTTTAGGCTTTATTTAATGCCGTCTAACGTGCTTCACGTAGGCGAGGATATTATGGATCATGGATCTCTGATGAAATGGAAGTAAATTACAATCATACTCTGGCAAACACACTACTGCAAAAAACCAGATAAGAAAACAGACACATAAATAATGATTTAATGAATAAATGTGTTAACTGTATTTTTTGGCAATAAATTTTGACAATGTTTCATTTTCCAGTGAGATGCAGTTTTTGATAGCTATATATAAAATAGTGTATGTGTGTATGTGGGATAGATGTATTTATATTATATATACATATGTAACACATGTATATGTATCATTCTGTTTATACTGGGAAGGCTTATGCTGTGCATATGCCTCCTGAAGATTATGTATGCCTAGACTAAAACAGTCCTATAAATTATTCTTGCGTAGGCTATAGTCTTGCTTTATGTATAAGAGGTCAATTCATAAGCAATTATAAATGAAATGTCAATCATAGTCATTATCTGAACAACAAACATTTATTAACTAGCATGAAAAATTCTTCTTGACAGTTTTTGGCTATGCCAGGATGTGGATGGAAGGGTTATGAGTGTTAAATCAATTTCTCCGCAATGAAAAGCCTATAATTTAAATGTCTTTATCCAGTGCAGTCTTATAGGAACTTTCATCTAAAAACATGAAGCTCTGTAGGCCAGGGTCCAAAATTTTTCAATATTAAAAAAGTTCAAAACCTTCAATTTTATGGGAAAAATTTCCTATTTAAAAGGCAATTTGATTTGGTAGACATAAAAATGACTTTGGAGTCAGAGAGACCAAAGTGAGAATCCCAATTTTAACCTACAAGTCGGGTGACCTTATCTATGCATTTGTTCCCTTGTTTAGTAAATGAGGGCATTAGCTCCTTTATCAGTGGATTTTTATAAGATTAAACAAAAAGAATTATAAATGATTAAGCCTAGTGCTTAGCTGATTATATCACTGATTTATTTATTCAGGGAACAAACGCTAAGTGTAGGTGCCAGGGACACAGCAGTGAATAAGGCAGATATGATGCTCCCAGCAAATAAGCCAGATTAAGATAATTATATTATGTGCTATGAAAGCAATTTGGAAATAAATCCAATGAGACAGACAGTAAGTGGTAGGCACAGTCTCTCTGAGGAAGTGGCATTTAATCTGAGAAGTGGCAGTTGAGATTGAGCAAGACATGGGGAGAATTAGGAGGTGGCATTTTAGGGGCAGGGAGGGGCCTTGGGGAACCCATTACTGGAGTCTGGGTAGAGATGACAGTGAATTGAATTAAGGCTATAACAGTGCAAATTGATCTCAATCTTGTGATAAATGTTATAAACTCCCTTTCTCCTAAAATAAAAGATAATTATATCACTGAACAATTTCTACTAAGTATAAATGAAAATGAAGAAAGCAAAAATGCTTCTTGAAATAAAACACAGGTTCTTAAGATCTTGGAGCCTCTTGACCTTCTTTTCTATGAATTAGTTTTCTTCCTGACCAGGCCCTTGAATCAGATATGTCTCTATGAAAAACAGGGCTGCTTTGGATTTGATTATTATTTTCATTTAGTATTGCTTGTCCAGATTCTTGGTAATAAAACTTTTCAGAGCTAATATAAAAAAAAAGATTGAATATTCTCTTCTTCCCTTATGGGATGTGCCCACTCAACTGACTCACAGGCAAACAAATTAAATCAGAGAAATTAATTATTGTATTGTGGTGTCTCTGCCATGGGGAAGTGCAATTCTTGAGTGGCTTGCTGGGCAGCCATGAAAATTGTAAGTGAAAGATACAAGACAGGACAAGGCCCACAGAGAAGACAACTCTGCTTGCATCCTTTTCTCTAGGTTCTCTCTAATGCTGGCTTAATTTGAGAAAAGGTCAATGAAGAACCGGACCTTTAGTTTGGTTGCCAGACAGCTGGGTGGTGAAGGCATTCTCTCTGCAGGAACTCTATTGGGTGTCCATGCATTTGAAAAGACAAGAAACTTATACTGTCAGTCATTAGTTTCCTTCTACTCTTCTATTTTTGGGGTTCCAGCTTGTGGACCACCTCCTTTTCTAGTTGGTCTTTCTCTTGACTTGGAGTATTCATCTTCAACACCCTGCTAGACACACTGGTCTTGGGTTGTCATTTAATCTCAGGAAACTAGTTCTCAGTGGTGAGAGCAGTCTTTCCTCTTGTAGGCATGATAAGGTAAGAATTGCTTGCTTTTTAATAGCCCTAGTTACCTTGGAATGGATTTCAAAGCAACACTGGAGGGTAACCATTGGTCTGAAATAGCCCATCCCCAGCCCTCCCACCCTCTTCCCCTCCTTTGGTATTTTTATGTAATTGTAGGGATAAGGGCATTTATTCACACTTCACATTGCAGTGTTCATTTTTTCAGATGATTGGAACACCTGGAGTGTAAGTGAAGTAAACAGTACAGAAGAAATGCCTCTGGTGGAAAGTATGAGCTTCCCATAATGATCTACTAATGACTTTGGTAGAACTTCTTCCCTTTTGTACAAATGCCTTGGACCTGCTTTACTACCGTAAAGTGTTCCTTTATCTCATTGTGAGGGCAGAGGATGTGTCTCTGCACATATGTGTGCACACTCAGCATCCTGAAAAGTACCTGGTACCCAGTGGTTGCTCAATACATGTTTGTTGAATAAAAGAATATCACAAGTTCAAAATGTATTTTCCAACTTACTTTCTACAGTCTCCTGGGCCTCAGATGCTAAATAGGTTGGAAAGTCATAGAGTTGTTTTACAGAAATAAAAAGACAATTTTAAAGGTTCACTATGGAATCATTAAACAAATTCTAGTTTTCCTATATTAAAAATATTTTTAAATAATACATTTTTGGATTCCAGGCAGCTGAGTTTAAAACTAATTCCAAATAATCCCTATTTTCTTTAAGCTAATCCATTGCATATCCAGAAAAAAAAAATTCAGAGAAGTGATTTTGTTGACAAAAGACTTGGCCAGTTTTCATAATGAGATTACCAGAGATATCAGAGAATGGTATTTTTAAAAATCTATTTAAAAATGCATTTTTAATAAACAGATAGGCAAGCAGTTAATTTACTAAAATAAAGAGAAGTAAAGCAATCTGATTGTATCAAGATGTTTCACATTTTCTTTTACTTAAATGACAAAACTTCCAAAGGAAAGGTTGTATTTTCTGTCAACAGAGACTTCTTTAGAGAATTTTAGGAAGACCTTTCAGGAAGTCCTTAGAGTGTCTTAGACAGAGGTGATGGGGGCTGGGGAAGAAACATGATAACTGAACACAAATGTATGGTCTACTCTGGAGGTCTTTGTAATACTCCAAATCAAACAATGGCCTCAGAAAATAATCAAATAAATGAACACTTGATAAAAACAAGTTAAACAGCGAAACTGCAAGGATCCTTTCTCTTTACTTTCTGTGTGATTTAGCTTTCTAGACAGCCATGAACTTTTGGTTAATTTCCTTGAAAGACTGTTTCTTCTCCCCTTTGCTCATTCTTTTTCTAATGGTTATTTCCTTCTCTTACCAATATCATCTGTTGAACTCCTACTCACTCTCAAAAGCCCAGTTCAAATTGTTTTCTCCATTTTTTTTTGAAACAGAGTTTCACTCTTGTTGCCCAAGTTGGAGTGGAATGGCATGATCTTGGCTCACTGCAACCTCCTCCTTCTAGGTTCAAGCAATTCTCCTGCCTTAGCCTCCCGAGTAGCTGGGATTACAGGCATATGTCACCATGCCTGGCTAATTTTTTGTATTTTTAGTAGAGATGAGGTTTCTCCATGCTGGTCAGGCTGGTCTTGAACTCCCCACCTCAGGTGATCGGCCCACCTTAGCCTCCCAAAGTGCTGGGATTACAGCTGTGAGCCACTACGCCTGGGCCAAATGTTTTCTCATTTACTGAGAAGTTACTGTTCTTCCTCCTCTCAACTGCCAGGCTGAACAAACCCCTCCCTTCTCTGTACTTTGAACAAACACATTGTATTGCAACAGCTTGTATATTTTCCAATTTCCCTCCAGACCAGGGGTCAGAAACTGGAGAGTCCTAATTAGGGAAGACGAGTCAGGCTGGTGGGACCAGGGGAAAGCAAAAAGAGAAAGCAGATAAGCAATAAATTTGCATTTCTCCATGGTCCAGGACACATAGCCCTCCTGTGCCCAACTTATCACCAGACACCTGCAAGTTAACTCACTGCAACTTTGGCGTTATAAGTACTGCACGAAACCCTCTTCGGCATACAGCATAAGCGCTATTCTATAAAATCTCCAGCAAGCCTCTGTTTCCTTGCAGACAGCTCCTCTTCTGTTGATTTTCTCACTGCCCTCTCACAATGTATTTTCATACTTTCTCTAATAAATCTGTATTTCTTTATCCACAACTGTTTTGGGAAATTCTTTTACCTGTGTGCCACCAGCCCAGACTGCTATTGCTCCCTTGTGTTAGAAACGATGGCACGCAGGCCAAATCTGTCCTGTTGCCTTTTTTGGGGAGAGGGGAGACTGTGAACAACGGCTTTTACATTTTTAAATGGTTGGTAAAAAAGGAGAATGTGATGATTTCATGACATGTTAAAAACACTATAAGATTCAATTCTGTATCATCCATAGTTACTTTTGTGCTATAACAGTACAGTTGAGTTGTTCTTGACAGTGGCCCGTGAAGTATAATGTAGTTACTGTCTGACCCTTTATAGAAAAAACTGTGCTAATACCTGCTCTGTGGGCTGGGATCATTGTGTGTGGTCATGTAGCTGACATTTATTGTTACCATACACTGAGCATTGTGCTAAATAATTCATGTACTTTACCTTGTTTAATCCCTAACAACTCTATGAGGTAGGTGCTATTATTATTTCCACTTACAGATGAGGAAACTGAGGCACAGAGATGTTGAGAACCTCTCCCAAAGTTTCACGAGTAGCAATTTGTAGATTTTTGATTCACAATGAGGTCTGCTTGCCTCCAGTCAAGGCTCATAGCTACCACTCTGTTTAGCCCCAATGTTGTCCAGGACCATCACTGTTACCCAGGTGCTGAGGGAAGTACCTGGCAATCCTTGTGGGACAAATTAGTTACATTTCCTCTCTATTGCCCCCAGCTGTATTCCTCT